GACGAACGAATTGACTGCTAACGATGCCAAGCGCTGTCTGCACAGGTACAGCTCCAGCCTCGGCCACTGGCGAACCAACCGCTGAAGCATCCTACGTCCCGAACTCATATTTCGCCTTCCCCTATGCTGCCACAACATTTACAAACGAAGCTGCATGTACCTCGGCCGTTGATGCTTGCGAAAAAAACTACGATCAGTGTGTTAATTTCCTCGGAGATGGAGGCCAATATGGTGTCACTATAGTTGTACCTGGTGGCGGAGGTACAACAGTTCAAGGCGGTGGACAGGCTTTGGGATCGTCATCAGCAACCGCGGTCTGCTCTAGTCTAAGCTCTCGTGCTTGCAGAAACGTTTCCAGTGATGACTGCTCTGATTATGGGAACGATGCCTCATCCTCCAACAGACTTGCCTTGTGTTTTGTGGGGTTTGGGGCCGGCATTGCCATACTCAACGTCCTGTTTTAGGTGCCAAACAAGCTGATATGCAGCTTGATACAAAGATCATGGACCTTGCAAGCATGATCGCTGGTGCTAGCGTACCGGGTTTGATTTATCGTCCTGCTACCGCTGCTGGGGAAGACATTACTTTGCCTCGTTACTCAAAGGGGTATTTGTGCTCAACAGAGCGAATGACTGCAGTTATGACGCATTTCATGAATAGCCTACGTTGTTATGGCTTGAAACTATGAAGTGTGCTTATCACATTATATATGAGATCTGAAATTCGCTCATGCTGAAAGACTTGACGTGCGCTTGATGTGGAATGTATGTATGTTTTTGGTTTTGTATATAGAATAGTACAGCAACAAATATTGACTCGGGTGACTATTCAGCCCTGTGTCGTCGGGTTGGCCACTTTTAATCTTTCGCCATGTATTACCTGAAATCTTTTCGATCTTGGTCTTGAGGGTATTTGCTTGGCGATGTGTTTGCTTCACTAGGTACTCAAACATTCCCAAGCCTCATTGAAAACGCAACATAGCTCAGGAGCTTCACAGTGGAAAACTGTACGGTTTCAAACGATTCCATGAAGCTATAAGAAAAGGCTCGATAGTCCTTCCCTAAAGTTCATGATTATGCAGGAACCCACTGATTGAGACAACCTTCTAATGTCCTTCAATCGTCAGGTAGCAAGTTCAATGAGACTCTAGATGCAGCAATAGGCTTTACTAACGAGAGTTGGTAGATGTAGTATACACTTGACGGCAAAGATCTTGATGGAATCATGACGAAGAAGTGAAGAAAAGTGCTCAGCCGTAGCCCTCTCATAGTCCTCGCAAATTGCCCCCTTATATGGACTCGGCAACAGCTGCTCCAATATTAGGTGATAGTATGTCCTCTAGGACCTCAATAATAGAACCCCTCGTATGTTCTTCCGCGTTTAAGTTGGCCTCGTCTTGGTCGCCGAAGGTCTCGCTTAGAAACAGCCGCGCAGTCATCTCTGCCTTGCCAAGCTGGACTTCCTCTGATCGAGAAAGGCGGGCACAAACCGCACTCAGGTCTTCGCTTCGGGCCAGCAACTTTGAAATGTTTTCGGCTCGTTCAACCACTGCGCTTGGCACCCCATTCAAAGCTGCACATCTACCTCCAAAACTCGACGTGCTATGACCATACTCAAGGTTGAAGAGGAAGGTCACTTGATCATCCACAAGTGACGCATTCCAGTCCATTCTGACGTTCATGTGCGCAATGCGTAACCCATTGTGATTTTCCAAATACCCACACTCGAAAACTTCATGAAAGTGCGTGGCAGCAAGTAGTCGAGGGCATTCAGGTCCGAGAGATAGGTAGTAGTCCAGTAACGCGGATAGCAGTCCGGCACCGTCATCGCCATTGGTCCCTTTCCCGAATTCATCTACCAAGATGAGGCTTTTGGGTGTTGATGATTTCATTGATAGCGCAGCTTGTTTCATGTCTGTTGCAAAAGCGCTCTCACCTCCAGACATGCTTTCCCTGGAAGACATGCAAGTCAAGATGCTTTCTGTGAGCCCGATTGTTGCCTGAACTGCCGGCACAAAACTGCCGATGTGGGCAAGATACACAATTATAGCTGCTTGCTTCAGATAGACGCTCTTTCCAGAGTGATTTGGCCCAGTCAGTACCAGAGCCTGAGGAGAGCCGTCTTGGACCGCCGCTATGTTTGATGTCCCTGTAAAGAGATGACATGGATTTGGGATGAAGGCCGGCACAACGAGTTCTTGCAGAGGATGGCGGCCTTCCTCGATGTGAATAATGCTTGCTTCCACCATTTGTGGTGCATGCCAATTGTACTTTTCGGCCCCAAGCGCAAGGGCAAGTATTGCATCAAACTCACCACACATCTCTGAGGCAAGCAAGAGATGCCCCTCGTGCTCCAAAACTTTACCTGCAAGCCCATGTATAATCTCCACCTCCCGATCTGCCTCGTGTGAGTTCAAGCTTGCAAAACACTACTGACAACAAACTCACCTCCAATCTGGCAATACATGTCTCCGTATTCCTTGTCTAACTCTCTCATGTAGCTGTTTTTGTAGCACACTGCACCGTCCGCAGTAAACAACTTTTCCCACGCTGCAACAGCTGTCCCCTCTCCTTCATATTGCCCGTTACCTGTGAGGCGATTTGATTCCACCACTGTGAGGAAACCTATTTGTGGCAGAAAGATGCACGACCGAACATATTTACGTGCCCATTGTGGTAACTCCCTATTGAGTTGGTTGACAACTTCTGTCAGGAAGCTGTCCATCCCGTCATACCGTCTTTTTAGTTCGTCAAGTTGAGTATCTATTCCGGCTCTGACGGAGGATCTGTGTCGTTCCTTGGACTGTTCAAAATCGATTGTTTTGTTGATCATGTCTCCAACAACTACTAAGCTGGCGGGTTCGAGGGAATGAATCAGCTTAGTCAATACCATTAGCTTAAACCGTCAGGTCACTTCCTGTGGCAGCTCCTTACTTTCTTGAAGATCACTATATCAGAGCCTCCATTAATCAAGCCTATAATTTCTCTGAGAGTCAGAGCTTGGGTGGTGAACTTCTGGATTGTTGCCCATACGCCCCTATCGAAAGATTGACCAGCAGAGGGAAACTCAATGCCTTTTCGCAACTGAGCTAAAGTGGTGCGCATGTTTCGAACTTTGCGTAGGGTCGAAGTCAATTGTGCAAGTTTGTCGGCGTTATCTGGTTGAAGCAATACTGCGATGGTTCTCTGCCTCTCCGAAATGATGTCGAGGTCCAACAGGGGTCGAAGGAAGAGTTGACGTAGTTGTGTACGTCCCTGAGGGGTACAAGCCAGGTGATGGAACAGTCCATATACAGAAAGACTTTCTTTCGAATTGCTCTTGTTCGCATCTGGTCCCCACGCTTGGCTGTTGGGGTGCAATTCGGTCTGCAGAATTTGCAGTGACAAGAGAGCGTCAGTACTGACATACATGTAAGTATTAAGGGAAAACATGCGGATATCAACAACACGAAAGAGAACTCCGGCAACTTGTCCATCAGGGAGAAAACCAGCGGATCGTCGACGAAGAATATCGCCAAGTAAGGCGCCAGCACATCCTACCTAAAGCATATTAACATCCCAATCATAATACGGGAAGGGTGCACTTACTGATACCTGGCTACTCATGTTTATGCAACCTCCGTAGCGAAGTTGACGGAATGCTTGCGACTCAGGTTGGGAAAGACCCAGTATGGATTCTTCACTACCGTCCTCCTCAATCCCTGTGGAGAATACAATACCAGTAGCAGACAAAGCTTGAGAATCGAGGCTGACAAGCCGTTCGTGTGCCGTCTCGATTGAGAACTCTGACGACTGCAAGCTGCGGAAAATGACCCCTCCTGAGGCATCTATTCATGCCTCTTGTCAGTTGCTCATCCTACGAATTTGAAGATAAATGTATTCTCGCTGACCTTCTGATGCAGCGATCCTTTCCAGTTCGTCCCGGAAACTAGAAGGTGCTCTTGCCGATACAAGAAGACTGGTTGGTTGGATGTGGATAAGAAATTGCTCCGCAATGTCGAGCGAAGCCGTGGCAATGTCCTCAGATACATGGAGAATCCCGTCAGTAGTTGAGAAATATGCACACCCAACGGTGAAATTCTCCCTCAGATCGATGGCCATGACAACTTCATGTTGAATGGGCTCACTGCTGCTTCGAGCACGAGTGTCGGCACCGGGCGTCTGCGGTTCTTGTGAATCAGAATATTGTTCTTGGTTCCGGGAAGCAGGACCGTAGCGGATTGATGAAGAGGGATTGCGAGCTCGCGACCGTGTTGAGCCACCTCTGGAGGACAAACCACCACTGTTCCCGCGGTTGTAAGTGCGGCCCCTCCAACCTCTACCTCCTCGACCTCGACCACGACGACTTGAGCCAGAAGCACTCGAGCCTGGCGTCTTGGGCATATTGGCTGAGTGAATTTAATAAGCTTGTTGCCGGAAGATCAGAGGGAATATGCGTGGAGGGGGAAGGATGACCTTAACACACTGCGCAGTTATCAGGCATTCAATGGCAAGAGCAGAGATCAGGACGGGAGTGACCTTCTGTAGTCGTCTATGTGAGTCAAGGCAGGAGCCTTTTACTGCTTTAGTTATCCCCTATTGCGTTGGAGGTTTCCTTGGCCATTGTAGTTATGGGGAAGGAAGGATACACGCGTGAAAGGAACTCAATCGCAAATTTTACCTCATACAAGGAGATTCATAAACGATCCTACCTACTAAGGTAGGCATTTCTGGCAAGTGCCAGCATTATTTTGAGTACCTACCTTACTTCAGGACCTACCTAGTAGGTATTGTTACAATCGGTGCAACTGGTTAATGCAGTATTGAATGTGATCATGCAGGTATATGAATAGACTCTCTATTTGGTTCTGGAGGCTAGTCGCTCGTCAACCCGTTGAGTCGTACATACTCCTGAGCACGCCAGGAATATGACTTCAACAGCGGTTCTTTCTGCTAAGATAGAAATCCGTCAAATCGATAAGGGTGTGATGTCGCCCATCTTAGGTGTCTGAGCTCTTGTCCTCACTTCTCGTCAGCCTTGACCCAACTCGTGAATTCACGTCGCTGCTTGCGGATGTCAATGAAACCTGGCCTCGTCTCAAGCACACTGAAAGGGTTTCCACGGTAGTCCTTTTCCACCTCGCCACTTCCTGTTTGGAAACCAGCCTCTCCTTCGCGCTCAATCTTGCCAGCCCATTCGTGCCACTTAATTGGTCGAAGCTTGGGAGTTCCCAGAACCAAGCCCAGGACAATGATCAAAGTCGCTACCAGTGCTTCGATCGATATGTCGATTGGGAGCGAGTGTGTTGCGAGCGGCTGCGGTTGGCCATGATGCACCGCAGTTGACGAGATGACGGAGTGCTCTTGCGCGGAGTAGCAACTGGAGTGATTGTCAGTTTCCTGTGAAGATACCAAGAATTGGCGAGCTTACGCATGTGCTAATAGAACTAGACCAGTAACGGTCACCGTTTTAGAGACCCAAGTCATCATGTATTGGAATCAGACAGCTTGGACACAGTTACGACGAAGATGGGCGTCGTCTTGGGGACAAGTCGCGGCTCCTAGGTAGATGTAGGCAAGCTTGGCAAGGTAGGTAGGTAGACATGGGTACTAGCATCCAATGACTAAGCCTGCGCCATTCTCCACCACCCCATCCATGCACATGACACACAAGCTTTCAGAAAGAATGATTCGAATTAGTTACACATTGAGATGAGAAAATCATAGTCATGGGTGTTTGCCAAAACCCTACCGATTCTTGTTTAAAATATGCACCCCTAAGAAAAACCAGGTCTAAATCAAACCGCTCGATCCAATGTATGATGCTCGAATCCATTCACCCAAATAGTAAAACACGCAAGGAAAAATTGCTACAATTACACGGGGACATCAAGATGCCTGTTCTCACTGGAGCCCCTGCTCAGTCTGTGCATACCAATCCTCGAAGTGACCAGGCTCGTCCATGATTTCGACTTTCCAAGCATCTTTGCTTCCCTTCAGGTACACGTCTTGTGCTGTGGTGTCTTCGTAACCTCCCATGACTGGCATCAGGTCTTGACCACTTTCCCTGTGAGACACCCAGCCTTCTTGGTCAAAAGGGACGCTGGCAGGGATCCCATCATAGATATCGTACTGAGCAGGTCCGAAGAGATGGGGAGCGGCATTGTCAAACCCTGATCCAGGTGGTCCGTAGCAGTTGGCGAATCCATCAAGCCCGTGTACGGGGTAGTCGATGGCACCAGGAGAAGGGGTTCTGCTGATTACTTCGCTGTTGATGTTGAGGCCACTGTACTGACGAATGCCCAGGTCAAATGAGCTGGGTGTGATATCGTCGTATGGCAGTGAATGAGGCCGACCTAGAGCCGGGTAAGCATACATGTCATGGTAAGATGGCATGGCTGGCTCTCCGATCGCATTGCCCGCAGCATCGTAGGCGACTGGTGTCTCGCTTAGTCGTGTGGCATGGCGGAATCTGAACTTCCGGGTACGTCCGCCGTTCCAATCTGAGTCGTTGTCTGAATAGTCGTCATTGCCATCCCCATCCCGTTTGGTCTTTCGTGGCTTTGAGGGCGTGAACTTGTATCCGGGGTGCGCTCGCTGATGGTTCACACGCTCTATTCTGGCCCATTGATCAAAATTCTCTTTGATTTGCGCTGGCTCCAAGACCCATGCGGCACCACAGACTTTTGAGACATGCTGGTGGTTGTTCTGAGAACATTGCGTCTTAGCGACTTCCTGGTACGCCTTTCGGTATAGCATAAAAGCATTCATTGGACGTTTGATCTGACCAGCCTTTTTGTTACGCGAAGTTTCCGATAGTCTCTCTTCAGTTGGCCGACTGACAAAGGCCTCGATATCAGCAACGTGAATATCGGGAAAGTCTCTGGCAGCTTCGGAAAGCGGTTTTGAAAGCATGTTGGTGCCATTCTTGGTTTTCTCTGCACGGCTTCTCTTCTGAACTCGACCAGTTCTCACTGCTGGTGATCGTGTGGTAAGCGATTTCTTAGCGATATTGAGACCGCTGCGAGTGGTAATTGCATCGCTAGATGGGCAAGGTGCTGAAGGCGACGCTTCCGGAGTGCACGGGAGATGGTTCTGCTTCGTTGGCTCAGCTATTGGCTCTCCATGTGCTCTCGTGAAACCTACATTGTAGCCGATCTCATCGGGCAAAGGACCATAAGGGTTACTTGTGATACCTAGACCTCCAGCATAACCTTGCTAGTGTCGCAGGTTAGCTATGGTGGCAACTTGCCTGGGCCTGTTTGACTTACAAACGAAACATCGCTTCTTTGAGAATAGACAGTTGATGGCTCATACACAGAAGAGTCGTCGTCACGAACGGGAGTAGAGTATCGAGTCGAGTAAGAGTAGCCGGCAAAGCTTTGTTCTGGGCTCATAGAGCCTTGAGGATACGAAGTATGTGACTCCATGGCCACTGGTTGTTGAGAGAAGCCGTCAGAAGAAGATGGCGGAGTTGGAAGTATCTGTTGCGGCATGTCGTGTGTCTTACGCCGCTCTTAGGTATTGTTTTTGGCAACGGGATGCAAGGATAGAAAAGAGTCCTGTGTTGTTGTTGATGGTGATGATGATGGAGCCAATGGAACGACGCAGGTACTATAGTGAACAACGGCAAGTGGACTTTGTAAGTTGCACAACGTAGATGAAGAGATAAAGTCTGGTCTTTTGACAGTAGCTATGTTGGTCTTAAGCGGACTGAAGGTAGAGCACTCAGCAAGGGCGTCTTTGTCGGATTTCTTTGAGCTGCCACAAGTGGTTTTGTATGTGCTTGGGACATTCAGATACCATAGATATGTCTACAACGCCAGGACCATGCCCACAAATAGACAAGCAGCAACCTTACGCTCCTAAGTTCAAAGGAACCGGAGCAGACGACTATCCTGTTGGGAAACAGACCGCAATGCGGACCGTTACCAGAGTGGTAGACCTCTCCAAGCTGCATTTACATGTGTCGTTGGCCGGTATCCTCCACTCTCTACCACCCACCACACTGCACACGGGCCAACATGGAGAAGCACAAATAGAATAGAAGCCCTATGAGCTTAAGAGATGGGGCCGCTTGGCGTCCAGCCGCAATCCATTCAATAGAAACAGAATGTCATACTTTTGATTGTGCTCCCCTGCACCGCCTTATTCGTATGCCGCTAGTTCAGCCACGGCGCATTCCTTTGACGTGCGCATCCGGCCCCTCTGGCCCCTCTGGCTGTCATCAACCATCCTAACTTGAGACGTTGTTGACTTTCTATTGTTTGGTGAATCGATCTCGATCTAATATCCGTCATATTCTCTTACTTATAACCAAAGGCGCCTCGCAAGCCTGCTACTCCAACAGCTCCTGTCCACCCCCGTTTTGCTTTGCTTCCATTAGCAGTCTTGCCCTGCCATGCCTTACCAGGCTTGTTATGTGGAGTGCTGTAGCATGTTTGCTTCAAGTGCCGGATAACTGGGACCAAGCGGCCACTCGCAGTCGTGCTGGCAGCGTCTGTTTGATGTGTCGTGGTAGCCGAACGACTAACCAACCAAATAATCCATAATTGCCCAGCTTGATCTAACCCTGTACCGGCCTGGCCTGTTGGTTCTGTTTTGGCAGATCATCTCTTCCTTTAAGACTATTTCGTCCTGGCGTCCAAAAAAGAAACAGGCTTCTATTCGAAGCTTTGGCCATTTGTTCCTGGCCACCATTTTTATCACGCCCAGCAATGTTGATAGACACCCTATTTTCGGTATAGGTTCGGCCATTCGCGTCTCGCGTTGCTGCAGTGCATCAGATCACAAATTCTGTTGGTCTTCCACTTGCCTTGTTTGATCTGGAGACGAGTATAGAGCCCTTACAGATTGGGGAAAGTGTGATTTGACCTGCCTGTGCCATCCTCTCATTCAAGGCCCCATGACAGGCGATTGTTTTGAATAGTTCTAAACCTCTCCAATGAGAGGAAAAGACTCAGCGTTTTCTCGTTAACACCATCATGGCATTGGTTGTGCTTGTATTACTGTTGGAGTTGGCTTAGTGATAAGTCTCATGTCATGGCGAAACATGGTTTAGAGAGCCTCTCAACACAGCCGTGGCGTTGACCAGGACCCATGCCTCATTAAATCTCTGTGTTTGGAGTGTTCATCGGTTTTCAAACGGTCTTGGTGGCTCCGATGGTTTGATTGGCGGAGTCAAAATCTGATGTTGAGGAGAGGGTGATAATGCGACTGGAGGAAGTATTGGAGTAGCAGCCTTGTATCTATTCGAACTGGCAGAGTCGATGGGGCGAGGTGGTGAATGCTTGGTTGGGGAGAGCCCAGCGATAGAAGGTATAGTTCCGTTCTGCTCGTGAGCTGCTCGATATATCTCGCGGCTGATCTGAGGTGTGCTCAACGCCGACTCAGCTGTTTTATCCCCCTGGAAGCTATCGATACCTTTCGAAGGACTAGGTGTCCGGAAGGACGTCATAGGTGTGGTCATAGACGTACTGCGTGGTGGGCTGCCCTGGATGCTGACATCTAGCTTGACAGGTGCCGGGATCACCGGTGTCCCTTGGGGTGTGTAAAGCACCTCCTTACTCACCTCTGAGCGGGCGTCCATCATACTATTTGGAAAGCCAACGCCATTGCCATTGGTATCAGGGGTGGAAGCCAATGGAGTCAAGCTATGTTCAACGTTTCCGTTAGATACGTCGTGGTCTCCATACCCTGTCCCGTTGACCTTTCGATCCTCCCCACTAAAAGATAACCCTAAGTGACTTGAAGAGCGAGATGGATCTGACTGGGCGCCAGAGTTAGGTGGACGATTGAGTTTCAGCTTGATGGTTGGTCTGGGCCGTTTGGCTTCTTGCTCGCGCCGAATACAAGAAGCACAGATATAGTGGAATTCCGGCTGGTCAGCTGCTGCTTTGCTCAGCCCAACACATTGACTATGTTGCCAGACATTGCATCTCTCACAAGCTACGCTGTGAGCTCCATCGTCCACTTGGCCATAGAGACCACAAGTGCAGTCGAAAATCCAATCTTCTTCCGCATCCTCGAGCTCCTTCAGAGCTTGCTTGTTTTTCTCAATTTCAACTTGGAGGCGGCGTTCAGATAATCGTGTGCTGTTACTTGATAAGTTCTTGCTGTCTTCGGAGAGTTGTGCAAGTTCTTCCTCATGCTGGACGCGTCGTGCCTCGCGTTCTCGTAATCGTTGTTCACGAGACACCAGTCTTTTATCGCGCTCCTCTTCCATTTTAATTTGCGCCAATTCTTCGCGTCGTTTGCTTGCTTCTTCCTCCTTTCGGTGTCGTTCTTCCTCTCGAATCTGCTCGTCCTGCCTCTGTTGTTCAACTCTCCCAGCAATTCGGCTCGATCGTTTTGCATTTGCCATTTTGGCAGCGTTCGCTAGCTCTCGCTCTCGCTGTAACTCTCTGCGTTGCCGAGATTGTTCTTGTTTTTCAAGGATAGGAACGAGATGTTTTTCTAGCTGGTTGCGCAGGATTTTCTCATTCTCG